TTATAAGAGAGCTCGGCTCACCCAGAATAGATCAATCTAATTAGTGATTACTTTATTAATAATGAATCAACTGTATTTCGATTATGAATGAGTATTACAAGCCTGCCTAACTACGCCATTCATCGACGGACCCATCTGGCAGCCCTATATCTATTAACAGAGACGGACAAAATACGGCTCAAGTCAATCACTTGAAAGATATCATATTCAAAATATGAAGTCAACAAATCAACATCAAACAAATTGCATTTATCTTTGATTCAAAGATGAGAATACGGGCCGCCTTGTAGGGTTGCCAGCTGGATGCATCGAATATGGACAACCCTGTATATATATAGATAAGTAACTTAATTCAGATGGCCACGCTTCAGTAGCAAATACACATAGGAGAAGGTCGCACATAGTTGATTATATAAAGAGAGAGCGAGAGAGAGGGAGAGGGAGGGAGAGAGAGGGAGAGGGAGGGAGAGAGAGAGACAGAGTCTGGCGGAAGATAATGAGGCGTGGAAGAAAAGTGTGGTAGATGCTGTGGCGTTTAATTAAAAGCGTGCGAGAAATGCAACACTCGAGAAGCGAGAAGTGTAGAAGTGGAGAGGCGGAGAGGCGGAGAGGCGGAGAGGCGAGAGCGAGTGAACTGTGCGCTGTGCGCCATCGAGCGGAGCTGCAAGCGGCAGCCGAGGCCGCTGCGCTGAGTGCAGCAGCTACTTGCAACGCGCTTGCCGTGCCCCTTGTGGCAGCGATTTCCATTTGGCAAAGCCAAAACCAAATTAAATTAATTAAATTGCAAGAAAATCTGCGCTAAAGCACGCGGAAACGTGAAAAACTCACAAGCTTTGTTGTTGTTGTTGTTGGCAGCGTCAACGGCGTCGAAATTAAATCAGCAGCGCAAAGTCAAATTAAGTAAAAGTTAGGTTAGCTCAGCTTAGGTTTGCTTTGAAATCAACGAGGGAGCTGCAAGCGACGTCGCCAGGAGTACGCCGGAACCAGAGCCGGAGCCGGACTCCGAGTGGGTGTGAAAAGTGTTGCATGCCACATAGCTGCCCTTACCTTTTTTTTTTCTCTTTTTTTTTTTTTGCTTTTATTTTCTTACACTTTGTTAGCTTTATTTGCTGCTCTCTCTCTCCCTCTCTCTCTCTCTCTCTCGCTCACTTCTGCTTTGTTTACAGTGTTGCGCGTCGGCGTTGTTCATGCGATTCGCACTTGACTCAAATCGCGACTCGCTCGACTTTCTATAGCCGTCTCGCTCGCACCGCTGCACATTTTGCAATTAGCGGAATTGTTTCACATTTGCTTGACGCCCGCCTGCCCGCACCACAGAGACGCAACTGGACGTCGAATCCAGCCTGCAGTTTATCTGCGGTTGTCACTATTCAGCCTCTATCTCTCTCTCTCTCTCTCTCACTCAATCTCTCTCTCACACCCTCTCCCTCGCTCCCACTGGTGAGTGTCTTTCGTTTTTAGCTTGGTTTGTCGCTCGGTTGAGCTTGTCTGCCTCTGCCCCGCCACTCTATCTCCCTCTCTCTCACTCTTTGCTGTGTTTGCTATTGCTGCTTGTGTCCAGCGTTTTGGCGCCCAGGGGAAGTGCGCTAAATCTTTTAAAATACATCTAAAAACCGCGTGGCACACACACACATACACACTCGAGCACACACGCACACACACACACGCACACACACTGAGAGACAAAAGACAAACAGCTTTATGCACTTCACTTGTATTTGGCTACACGCTCTGCCTCTCCCTTCCTCTCTGCCCCTCTACCCCTCTCCCACTCTGTCATTCTCACTCGATGTGTGTGCGTGTCCTTCTCTGGTCGAGAATCCTTGCTATCGTTACGTTCCAGCTGTTCGCCATCCTGGCGCTCCGGCGTTTTGGTGCACTCATGTGCATTTTAGTGGTAACCCAGTTTTCGTTTTTAGGTGCTTAAAAGGTTTCCCCATTTGAATGCTGTTTGGCTTTGTGTGGGCGACAAACAGCCAAAAGTGACAAGAGCGAGCGAGCGAGCGAGGGGCGACTCAACTGTTCTCAGTGTGTATGCGTGTGTGTGTGTGTGGGCAATGGACGGATACGGCTGCGGATACACGGACACACGGACACACGGACACACGGCAGATAATAGATCTGAGACCGAGCTGA